TTAGGCTCCTCGCTGCCTACAAACATTGACCGTGTTAAGCATGTCTGTTCAACCAATTTTCCAAAACCTGGTCGTGCCATCCAACTGCACTTCATCCGTCGGATCTCGATTAGATAGCAAAGCAAAGCGGCGTAAATCAAACGTGCATGCGTTTAACTTGTCGCTAAGCTGACGTGATAGGCATTAAGTGTACCAGCTAGGTATCTGCCACAGATCGTAGGCGTCAGTGAACGAGAGCACACGAACAGAACTATTTGGAAGCATTCAGCCTTGGAACATCGATGTTCGAGACCATTTGTTCCTTTGGGTGGCTTCAGCAACTCAATTCAGCGGCGGAGCTACTAGCCACGGAACACGAGTATCCGAATTCACTTCGTAGGATCAATAAATGTGACCTGCCAAGTTTGCAACAAACGCGACCATTATCTGCAATCCTACCTCCGCAACAATCTTGTTCATAGTCGGAACCCAAATCCCATACGCACTCCATTCTGTCTCACTGTTTTCATCTTGAAGGTGGAGTTCGGACCTGTCGTCCACCCGTCTTTACATCAACTGTCCAGTTCATTTTAAGCCGAAAGTAACTTTAGCAAATATACACTCATTTGCAAACTAATTTGGTTTTTCGAGAGACTCACCTGGAACCCAGCTGAATCTATCGTTTGTGATGTGCAACTGAATGTGCTGCACCAGGCCGCCTCATGTTTCGGTCGCTACGATATTCGAGATATCGCGATACATGCATATATTTGTAATGTACTACCCATAAGTTTGCGTTCGACGGATTTTCAGCAACCTTATGAGTAGTACATTCCGAAAGTAACTTTAGTCCCAAGTAACAGAAATTGCCCTCATCCCTCTACCTGTGATAACCAGAAGTCGGAACTGTCCTATCCTTCATGTGAAATCCTCTGCATCCTTGATTACGTCGACAACCGAACGGTTTGTTTCGTCCATCCCCGATGATCCAGTTGTCCGCGAGGAGCTGCCCTCCCGTCGCCATTTTTTTCTCGCGTCTCCAACCGACACTGAAACGTCCCGGCAACCCTACCTTCTGTTGCTTCCGACCTACTTGGATCCGCTGGTCACGGTGTCATCTCACATTCCCACCCGACTCTGGCTACACAATCGTTTCCGTCCATTCGAAGTGTTCTCCTCACCTAGTAGCGTGAATGGTTACATATCCCCATGAATCAGGCTTTTCGAATGACCTGTACAAATTCGTCCAGAGGTCCTCCGAAATTCCCACTAGTTATATACACATTTTCATACCATATTTCTACACGCTTCATGAACCTCTTTGACTGATTTGTTCACCCAGTGATATTACCTGTAAAAAAAACTTGTATAAACGTCTCGTTCCAGTCGCTACCCGCACCCGTACTATCAACAAGACCAAAAACAAATCCATCATTGAATGCCTCTCCTGGGAGCCGTCCATTCAAAGTGACTTTTGCACTCCTTCGCTGTCTCCAATTTCTGATGTTCCGTGCCTGGGATAAAGCTGGTTTCTGAGTGGATTACCCTTCTCGACAGTGCAACACTTCCGGTTCTCTGGTGTACCCGTTGATCATTCGTCCCGCATTCGTCCCCCCCCCATTTAGCTCTACGGGTACTTCCATGCAAGAAACTAGTCCATTTTCTCGGAACTTCGAACCCAGACAACTGTCACTTGCACCATCTCCACTTTTTTCCCAAAGATTCTGGGATCCTGGCTAGCCAAAAAATCGCACCATGACTGGGGTGATCCTTAACGTTGGTGAAAGAACTTTTGGTCGGGTATGGCGAGCAAACTTATCTCCAAACTGCCAATATCCGACTTTGGTAGTTGGACTGCAGGAGTTCTGAGCTCCCAACCGATGAGAACGTCTACGCGGGTCGGAACAACAACGAATTACCTGTTTTTTTGAGATTTCCTTCAGTGTTCATGCATTTGTCGATGAGGTCACTCTCTACCACCACACGTCTTATCCTTCCCTGCGCACCGCCTTTTCGGTTTCCAAACACCATTTGCAATCGTCAGTGTGAACGCTGATCTCGCCAAAAATTCGCAATCAAACTGACAACCTCGAATTCGCCCAGGATAGGGGTTTCTCGCCATGTTCTCGTTACCCATAAATCGAAGATTCGTCCGAAACGCAGTTTTCCAACCAGCTCTAAATTCTGATTCGCATACAACGAAAGGCTCACTGTTATCCCATCGCTTATCGATAATCTTCAGTCATCACCGAGATGCGGCGATTTTATCGTTACTATCATTCCAAACGTCCTGGGGGCTTGCGTCAGCTGTCCCCCTCAAATTGACTTACAATCGTTCCACTCGCCTCCGCTGTCGAACAGACCGCTTTGTCTTTTCCTTCCTTGTTCAAGCAACTACTCACTAAAATGTCTCTACTCCCTCCATCGTATCACCGCCTCCTTTCATCTCTAAATTTTCAAGGCTTTTTCGAAAGCCATCATGACTGTTTACGAAAGTCCGATCAGGAAGCTACCCGTCATCTGTGTCTGTCAGGTGCCTTGCTAGGATTCGATCTCGCATTGAGAAGTCTAACTTGGGGAGACGAAGTGGAATCGCATGATTTCTCGATTGGAGCATAGAAATGTTCTGATGAGTTTCGCAGACCTGCGTGATCACATAAAGCAACCTACCAAGTACATAGAAATTCCCCACTTCCACACACATACCGGTAGAAAAGGACATATTGAGGCGACCAAACTACTCACAAAATCATCGTCTGATTTCCAGCGTGCATCATATCGACTGTTTCAGCTGTGGCATCTTTCGGTACAGAAATGTCACACAACTAAAAGTACGAATGAGGGCCGATATAATGCCGCCTTGCCCATGAAAGAAAAGAAAGAAAGCATCCAGCTGTAGCACCTTTCCGGTGCCTAGCTGCCATGCCAGCCGAAGTAAACACAAGGGCTGGGATACTGCCAGGTTGCCCAAGCCTAGGTAGGGGAGGTCGAGAGGCGGTCGGGTTCGAACCACGAACCTTCCGGTCAGTAAATTCGCGCTCTAACCACTTAGGTCATCTCGCCCCATTGCCCATGCCCAGACAGAAACAATCAATAAGTATCCCAGATGAGATGAATCAGTAGTTAGAGAGGGATGTTACTGACCAGAGGGTCCGTGGTTCGAGCCCGATCTCTGTCTCTCAACTTCCCCTATCAAGGCTTGGGCAACCTGGCAGTATTCCAGCCTTTGTGCTTGCTACCTTCTGGTGATATGGCAGTTAGGCACCGAAAGGGTGCTACAGCTGATTTTTCCACGATCCGTGTCTACTCAAACGACAGTCTTTGCACCTACCACGTGACAATGGAAATTTAATCAGAATGCCTGACGGTTGGTTACTTGCGACAAACTCGGATGGGAGACAATCTTTCGGGAAAGAGAGTGACACTCACGTTGTCCGATTCGTATACCCATGACGTTATCTATCCTACCACGACCGACTGTCAGTCAAACCAACGTGGCTCTCATGTAGGCTAGGCTAATTGAAAAGACAACTGTTATCCAATGTGTCTCGTATTTAAGTACAAATCTCAAAAGGTCTACTGCCCTGACAGATTGAATATACAACGTGGAATATCCTATAGATAGCTATGTACATTGGTCAAGGAAAGAAAGTTAGGTTGGTACTTCATAGTCACTCCATGGGTTGGTTGGCGATTCAGGGTACCACCATGAGTGGCAACACATAAAAGCAACCGAATGTATAAATGAACTCGATCAATTGGAAAAAGGCACGACCTTCTATGAGTCGCCACGGTGCTCACAGACTAGCGGGACTGGACGCATACAGATTCACATAGCGAGCAGGTCATACTGCGTGTGAGTAGTCATCGTTGTCTTGGGAATTGGTGCAACCGCGATTGAAATCTAATCACTCCTTGACAATGGACATAACTTCGCGCAGATCATCTCTTCCCGTACTGGCGTAGGCGACTTCACCTGCCGCGGGTAGTAACAGCCCCCGTCGACTGCTAACAGATCGTTCCGTCGGAGACACATCTTGAAATGGTTTGGTATTATCCGCAGAACCTCCGCAATCACCGCCTGTTTGTGAAGAATCGGATGGGGAGATACGCTGATACCATTTGAAGTATTCGTAGACAGACCAGGATATTGCAGTTCCAGGGACAGCTGTCAGAACGCGAGCCCCGAGGCCTCGGAGAAAACCCCGAATTCCTTCCAGTGCGAATACTTGCTGCGCTGCACCGAGAAGGCCACGAATTTGGGGCGGATTTGGGGGTGATGTTGAATGACAAGAAGTACCAGATAAGTGGGGCAGTGCGCAGCGTTCCTGGGGAAAAAAATTGAAAAACCACATCATACACAGCGATTAAACTGCGGACCGGAACGAAGAAAAAAGGTGACACGCGTGGAGAGAAAAAACAATATACGTAGTGGCGAAATACACTCATTTACAAACAAATTTGGTTGCGCGGGAACGCAGCTGAATCTCTCGTTTATGACGCGTCAAGGTGAGTCTCCCGCGAAACCAAATTTGTTTGCAAATGAGTGTATTTCGCAATATTCGTGCGCGTTGGGTTCAAGGTCCACGGAAACTTAGGGACTGCGCATATTTGATGAGCCCCAAGAAGGACGAAACCGGTCGTGAACTGTCAAAGAATTTTCAGCAACCCTATGAGTAGTATACTGCCCCAACTCGTGCGGTAACTTTAAATTTCATCACCCGACACTGTGGAGATGTTTCTTTTTTATTGGAGACGGTCTACAAACCATTGGAATGAAGCACGGGCGATCGCAGCGCCCGACGGAACCGAGAATAGGTGAATCACCCCTACATATATGACTCGCATCACACAACGAATTTGCAGTAAAGATGAATATGTGGAAACATTGCGTATCTGTAGAGCGACTTCCTATTCTTAGATATGTTGCTTAAATATCCCAATGGTTTGAAAAAGAACACAGTGACGAACATTGTTGTTTTCGGGATCTCGTTATCAGCTCAGTACATATGAGATGGTTAAAATAAGAGCGAAAAATGAAATGCGCTACGAAGATTGGTTAGTGAAATGCAAAAACGTGGAGACACGAACGATTGGTCATCTGCGCCCCCCCATGTCGCATCTAGTTGGATGCTGTGAGACGTCGCGATGCTCCTGCGAAACCCGGTACTGTGCTGTCAAAAACGTTTCGTACGAACGCTGAGTCTGCCTTGGTCGTGTGACACGAATCAACCGACCAAATCACTCAACAGCCCTCTGTACTGTCTCACAGCATCCAACTAGATGCGATATGGGGGGAGGCAGATGACCAATCGTTCATGTCTCCACGCTTTGCATTTCACTAACCAATCTTCGCAGCGTATTTCATTTTTCGCTCTTAGATATATAGCACGAAGTTTTCGTTGGACGATCGCCTCTTCTAAACGGATGACTTTTTTTAATCATCAAACTGTTTCTCTGTGCTTCAAACCACCGGTCGATTTTTTTTCGGTTAGCGCACTCGTTGCCAAGGTTGAACAATTGTCTTGTCATTGCTATCACTTTTTCTGGTTGTTCTAGTACACTAATGCTGTCCCCTTGTTTGATGGCGAAATCAACAGACGAACGCGCCCGACCTAGCAATATTTCGATGAACTATCGTGTATAGAAAAAAGCCGTGTCCTTCAAAGAAGCTTTTTGGGTTTGGTAATTGGCCAAAAAGAGAGTTGCCAGGTCGGCGGACCAATCAGCAGGAGAAGCAAACATTTCGACACGTGACCAAGAAGTCTTACTCCGACGCATTGTATATCACGTCTCTTCAGGCTAGATAAGACGACTTACCTGTGTGTTCAATATGGTTTTGCACACATCCAACGGATTTGTGACAGCTGCAGCTATTCCGCCAGCTGCCGCTCCGGCCAAGACATGGGTCCACGGTAGGTAGTGTCGTTCGGGATTCAACGTGGATTGCACGGTTTCGTAACAAACAAAATGAATCGACTGATAGGGAATGTTCATGGTGAGTTGGGTAAAGTAGGCCCGATAGAGAACGCGAGGACCTTCGGTGAGGCATACACGGCGGAAGCAATCGACACTGTTGTGATAGGGACTGTGGTAGATTTGTAGACGCTGCTTCACCGCTGTCGCAAGAGGGGGGAGGGGGGAACGAACGATGAAAGGCTTGTGATTTGATGTCGCTTGTAGACAAGCTGTGATTGTGTGATGTGATTGTTCAAGGTCTTATCAGCGGTTGGTCTACTTGTAAAGACCTGCACTGAAGAGACACGTGACAATTGTCTGATACACCCTTCAAATGACTTCATACAACTCTCAGAGTAGTTTTTGGGATTTCGTGACCTGTAGAAACCAATAATTTGAAGATCATGCGTCTCACTTGTGCAATGCAGCACTAGTTGTTGTGATCAATTTCTTCCTGTTGGTGAAGGAAAGTTGTACTGAAGATCCGAGAAGCACTGTGCTTCACAGTGTGCGACAGTGCTTTTCAGCATAGATTGGCTTCACTTATGAAGCGAGATCTCGAATAAAAAATTATCAAATCCCCTCACACAACCAACCAGTTTTTGTGATTGTACGGTGAGCCTCAGGACTATAGATATATGCACCCTTATCCCCAATCATCTGAAAATAAGCCACAGAGTGCAACTGAATCGTGCTATCAGAGGTGGCGCGAGTCAGATATTGTGACCTTCAATATCGAATATATTAGATAATGGTTCAGTGGTTAGAACGCGAATTTACTAACCGGAAATTCCGTGGTTCGAACCCGACCTCCGCCTCTCGACTTCCCCTGTCTAGGCTTGGGCAACCTGGCAGCATCCCAGCCCTCGAGCAACCTTCGGATGGGATGGCAGTTAGGCACCGAAAAGGAGCTACAGCTGAACGATCATAGATGATTGCCCTGGGACTAACATTCGGTCAGACAGACCACAGTGTCACGTTGATCAGACTTGAAACAACTGTACAAAGATATTCTCTGCCAACACGTTCCTCTCCAGATCGACATTACACTACACGAAGAACTTATTCAAATACCTAGAATTCTGGATTCCTCCCAATTATCAAAGCGAAAACAAAGCGACAAGCCGCATCGATTGGGAGAATAACGCTCTTCTAACTGCAGTACGTCCAGTGGTTTAGAACTGAGGACAAGAATACGAGCCTATACGCTCCCGATATCCCAAAAATATGAAGGAACTGGCCACGATGGTACGAGAAGACCGTCGACTATTGATTTCTAGGAATTTCTAAAGGTCTCCAGGGAGTTCGGAGTTCGACGACACCGTTTTGGCATTTCACAACTGGTCATACTCATTCAACAGGGTTAGCCACAATGGCACAGCCATATTTATCGCAGGTTAGACGATAAGTTGGTGAGAAGAGTACAAAATCCGAGTCCCTCCGTTGGAGGCGTTGACTCGATACGGTCAGCTCGGACGATGGACACCCTGGTCTGCGATGTCCATCGCTGGAAACAAGACTGGGTCGTCATCTGTGCCTACTTTGCAGCCAAAATTTACATGGGGTCAGCTGTTCCATAAGAGCACCACCAGTGGTTGTCCATGTTGTGCTGAAGCGCACCCACTCGACACTCAACTAATATGCCTTGTGCACTTGAAGCCACACATTTGTTTTTTGTTGTTCTAAAGATGTGCACAAGAACCAATCACAACTTGTGATTGTTCACTGTGATGTGGAGTAATCGGATCGATCGTGTCGGGGTTGTTCGGATGGGAATGGTGTGAACGCAACCCCCACAAAATCCCGCCATTTCGCACCGAGTCGCGCATTTGGCTTTTGTTGGGTCCTCTTTAGACCATGTTGCTGAACCTCATATGGTGCAACCGCGGACGAGCATGTCCAGCTGTGACTGCTTTGCCTACATGGTCCAGCCAGCAACAGGTACTTTGTGTCCAGTTAGACCGGAATGAGGATATTGTATGTGTCGTCTAGATAGGAAATTAATACCCACGTGCACATGCGTATATGTGGCCCACCTAAAAAAATAACGACCAGCTGTAGCACCCTTTCGGTGCCTAACCGCCATGCCACCCGAAAGTTGCAGGAGGGCTGGGATACTATCAGATCACCCAAGTTTAGACAGGGGAAGTCGAGAGGCAGAGGTCGGGTTCGAACCACGGACCCTTCGGCCAGTAAACTCGCGCTCTAACCACGTGGGCCATCTCGCCCCGACCCACCTAAAGAGTCCCCGAAACACCGCATTCAAACAAAAGATGGGAGCCTCCACTTATTTGATCAATTTCACTCGGCAAGTGTACTCTTTAGTCGCGTGGATGATCGTCGAAGGCCTTTAAGCAAGTAAATAGAAGTCAGTCAGTACAAGCTGGTTATTATAGTTCCACCTCTAAGTGAAGCGAATCTGTGCTGACAAGCACTGTACACCTGTTTCATCCTTATTGGGAATCATCAGCAGTGCGCATCGCGCGGCCGAACGGTCAAGTGTTCAAACTACTAGTCAGGAGGTCGCGCGTTCGACTTTCCGGAGTTTCGGGAGATGCGCACTGCTGATTATTGCCAGTAAGGATGAAACAGCTGTACAGTGCTTCTCGGATGGCTATTCAGCATAGATTGGCTCCACTTACAGGGCAAAATCTTCACAAGAATTCCCAGACCTCCTTACACTACCAGTGTAACGCAATTGAAACTCGACTGTATCAGCATGCACGTCTATCACATGACCTTGTGTGTGCCTCTCCCTCCCTCCCTATTGCAGGTACCATGGTCGGGCCACCACGAGCCCCGGACAGGAAAGAGTAGCCGCTTGTACACCCCCCTGACTGACCTTGACCCAGCTTTGTACCCTTGACTTCCGGTTTCGGTTTCGGGTGAATACACGTGTGTCGTGGTCACGCTCTGGTCTTCTTTCCTGTATCGCCCGACCGTGCGAATGTGTGCTGTGTATATCGTGTGGATTCATTAATACCAGTCCGTATATCTGCACATTTCAGAACCGACGTGTACCGTCACTACATCCTCTCGAACGTCGACTATCGCTGACTTCCTCTGACGTTCCATGCTACACCAACAGTTTCACCTCTACTGGGATAAGGAAATCTAACAAGGACAGCGCAGGTAAACTGCACCGCGATCTTAATTATATATATATGGCGGGGGCGATTTTTCTGC